GCCAAGGACAATAGAGGGGTGTGTCTTTACCCTCGTCAAACCCCATGAAGCTGGAAGGACGTGAGCAATGACGTCACACGGTAAAAACAAAAGTGGATTTTGTTTTAACCCTCGTCAAACCCCATGAAGCTAGAAGGACGAGAACCGTGTCGTCATACGCCAAAAACAAAAGAGGGGTGTGTCTTTACCCTCGTCAAACCCCATGAAGCTGGAAGGACGTGAGCAATGACGTCACACGGTAAAAACAAAAGTGGATTTTGTTTTAACCCTCGTCTAACCCTATGAAGCTGGAAGGACGTGAGCAATGACGTCACACGGTAAAAAAAAAGTGGAGTTTGTTTTAACACTCGTCAAACCCCATGGAGCTAGAAGGACGAGAACCGTGACGTTACACGCCAAAAAAGAGAGTCTCACAACTTAGACATATATATAATCTGTGTGTTGTGTGAAATAGTTTCTTGTGGTCCTTTATTAAAAATATTTAATATCCACAATTTCATAAAATATTAGATGAGTCAGTCGGATTTCTATGTCCGGTTTTCATTTTTCACGGCTCCAACTTTTTCTGTATTCACAAAGTTCCGGGAGCGTTGTTGATCATTATAACTTCAGACCCGCTGACATTTAGTTTATGATGAATTTACAGAGCTCATTATTTCACGCCCCCTTTACCGTTGAAAAAAATAAAAATTCTCACTCATAATAAGTAACGGTTGGGCGCCTCAGTTTAATTTGAGACTTTATTCCGCCAAGACGGGGGGGGGAGAACTTGCTTTTTGAAAGCGTTTTGTAAAAGTGCCTCGTCTCAGATATAAATTGGGCTTAACTTCTACAAAAAGGGCTTAAGGAGAAACGCCTCAGTTGGGCCGAGGGCGGAGGCGAATCCAACCTTATTTCCTACTTATCTACCCTGAGAAGTGTGTCACTTTTAAAAAGCTGAACTGTGACCCAGAGATGACACGTACTCCGAACGTGACAAATTAATATAAAGAGAACAACAACAAAGAACACAATTGTTATCGAAAGAAAAATATCCAATCGCCAAAAACAAATTCATAAATTTTAAAAAAATAACCACCTAATTCATTCATAAAGCCAACACAAACGTGTTAGTATTTCCGTTGATACTCAGGTGTCGTAAATAAATCAAATTACACAGCATAATTAAAAGTTTTCCTGCTATGACAGTTTACGAAGAAAGTTGTTCATTAATGCTCTATAAACTCATGAAATTGAACCGTTAAACCCTCCCTAAGCGTAATAATAATATTAGGGGTAAGATAACAAGCTTAACAAACCATAATGTATATTATAAAAATAATACATTATCACTTTTGGAAACTTTGACAATCGACCTCTTGTTCTCTTTTCCTCTTTGCCTGGAGCGAAATGTACTTTTTAAATTTCACGACAAAAACTTCCTATAATCAAAACTAATATAATACATTAGTTTTTAAAAAAGAATACTTTTTCTTATAAAATGAAAAAAAGACAATTGATCGTTTTGGTTTAAAAAAGTTCAGATCAAGCAGGGAATATTTCATTAAAAAATCATAAAAATTACTTATTTAATTTTAATTACTTAATACATAGGTTATAAAACATACATATTATTTTTACACATTATCTCTCATCACGACACACAACAATAGCACATCTACATGGAAAACAAACACGTTGAGCCCCGAAGATGATCTCAATGAAGATCGAAACGTTAGCTCGATAAAGAAAATATTTTTCTAAAATCTCAACACCAGACCGCACCTCACGATCTACAAATAATCTTACACATTATATAAACTAACAAACGAGTAATGTTAATGTTAAATAAAAGTTGACAACGTAAGCATAATGAACAAGTTGCTTGTTGTTCTTGCCAAAATAACTCTCAAGTTAGCCGTTTTAATAATAGTCCAAGAGGCAGGGATTGGCGGATAAATAAATTTTAAACTAGCAGGCACATAAATATCCGAATTTTAGACTAACGTTTTTTTTAAATTTATTCAAATATTATATTATCTCTCAGAAAACAGCCGTCAGTATTTTAAAGTTTGGTTTTATCGCAACGTATGCACAAGGAAAGTAAAAGTAAATATACAAAAATATATGTTTTAAATGTAATCGTGTTGAACAGGCACAGGGTCACTTACTGGGCCTATCTCCACTCTTGGGTTTTTGTAATTAAAAGTAACGTTCTTGGTTTTTGTTTGGAAAACAATTATCCAAAATCCTTTATATTTCGTGGTCCGATTGACCAAATAACTTCTTTTAATTAATTAATCTTTATTAGGTAAGGTATTGGTTGAAATGAAAAGTTACTATCACGAGCGGGATTCGAACCCGCGACCTTAGGCTCAATGCACCGCTGCTCTAACCACTTGATCTCGTGACACGATAGCTCAAGTGGTTAGAGCAGCGGCGTATTGTGCCGAAGGTCGTGGGTTCGAATCCCGTTCGTGACACTAGCTTTTTCATTCCAATCAATACTTTAAATAAAGATTAATTTATCAAAAGCCTTTCTTGGACTCAATATGTTCCTTTTTTTCTGAAACTCAGTAATTTCTTTTTTTCTGCAACTCAGACTCTAGTTTTTTTTTCTTTCACAGAGACTTTCGGAGACAGCATCATCCTTTTTTCTGTTCTGACTCAGCGTCGTTGTTTATGTTCTGGGTCTCAGGATCTTTCTATTTTTCTCGAATCATTGTCGTTTTTCTGGAACTCAGGATCTAGTACTTTTTTGTTTAACTGAGCTTTTCTGTGTGTGTCTCAGCATGTTCTATTTTTTCTGAAATCGAGCATTGTCCTTTTTCTGGGTTTCAGCATCGTCTTTTTTTTTTTTTTTTTTTTTTTGCCTTTTTTCTGGAGACTTTTTTTTACTAAGCACTTTTTTCCGGGCCTAAGCATCTGCCATATTTCTGAAACCCAGCAGATGTCTCCTTTATTTTTCTGGAATTCAGCATCCAGTTGTTTTTTTGTTAAAACAAAGACAAACAAGAACAAAAAACTATTACAGTACATTTCACATAATCAAATACTTCAAAGATAAACTAAGCATTTACAGAAATTTATTACATGAGCATGACCCATATATGAACGGTCGCAAATCGGTTTGCTGTCAATGTATCTGGTAGCAAAAGCTACCACTGCTTTGAAAGTGAAATGCCGTGTTTCAGCCTGAATCAGAGAAAAATATAGAGATGCTGAGAGACAGAAAAAAACTCTGAGCTCATCTTTGAAGTATTTGATTGAGTCAATTAACTCTTTTCTTTCAAGAAAAGGCATACAAAAACAAAAATCTATTTCCTTACTTTCCATAAAATCAAATTCTTTAGGACGAACTCATCATCTTTCTTTTTCCGGAACTCAGCGTCGTCCTTTGTCCTGAAATTCAATATTTTCCTTTTTTCTAGGGCTCAGTATCTGCCTGCCCTGAATTCCAGCATCTTCTTTCTTTCTGGAACTGGATTTGTCCGAAAAAATAATCAAATAATAATCACATAATTATTCAGAAATCGTGAGATGCGGTCTAGTATGTTTCATTCAGGTGTTCCAAAAGCAATGCTTTAGTACATAAAAAACCAGCACCTTTATAAACTCGTTCATATTCTTTCGGTTCAGGACAAGACGACCTTTTGCATAACAACTTCCACGAATCAACCCGGTGATTGCATTATGGTGCTATGACAATACCGATTCGTTAAATGTTTATCCAGTCAGTTCCATAGTTACCTAGTTTATTGTTGTTAATTTCCCATGTACGTTAACTTAAATTATTGTAATAAATGGATAGGTACCGCTAAATATGTCGCATGTTGATTATGTATTGAATAAACTTTTAAATACTACTCTTCTATACAAATAAAGTTGTTTAATGTGAAAATAAAATTCAATCTGCCGTTTGGAAACAACAACATTCCTTTTGTTTAAAATAAAAATAAATGTGTGTGGGGTGGGCCCCAGTAAATAGTACAATTAACGTGTAATTATTTTTTCACATGCGAGGGACGTCCTTTTGATCATTTCTGCATGGTGAACTTTGAGAAGAAATAATTCAACTGATTGTTAAGTGCGGTCTTTATTTTTTCTATTAAACCGTCGCTGTTTTTATTTTTTTCCTTTAAATCCTTTTTTCTAAAGATTTGCTGGGGTTTGTATTAATTTTGTATTCAAGCGTGATTTTCTTAGTAACCTGTTGTTTTCTAATTTGTTGAAGTCGGGAGGAGAGGTCAAGCATGAGATAGTTTAGAAAAACACCTTTTTAATTTTTTTGCTGACGTTTCGACTTTTATTCGGGTCAACTTCAGTGCATAAAGTGTGGTGCTATTCTTATGACATATTGGTTTTGTGTTGTGGTTACCTATGTTATTAAGTTATGTGTTTGGTGCTGTGGTTTTATCGCACAACACTTTCCCACAAAACTAATATGACACCACACCTGTTCTGCCTGAAGATGACCGAATAAAGGTCGAAACATCGGCCAAAAATGAAAAAGCGGTTTGTCTAAACTAACTCATTCTCGACCGCTCCTCACGACTTCAACAAATTTTGCATTCAAGTTTAAAAAAATTATAATTGCCTCCTAAGGCAACACAGAAGAATACGTTAAGAATAACTATTATTAAATGCAATCGATTTCTTTCTTTTTTTTTAAATTTTTTATGTTCCGTGGCGCTTTTATCGTCTGATTAATAAATGGGAAATAAATAATAAATACTGTCAAAAGGTCTGACATAGATTAAAGATCACGACGGAGAAACTAATACGATAATAGTATCCCTTGTAAAATTATCGAATATAAAATAGAACTAAAAAATATAATATTTATATAATATATGTAATATATTTGTTTACTTAAAATATATTTTTCTAAAAGTTCAATTCACAAACGTCGGTCTTACTTATCTTCATTTTTATTTTTGCATCGCATTTTTTGTATTATAAAATCTTCATTGTGAAAACAATTCATTGGAACGTTTTTTGGTGTTTGTGTTTAATTGCAGAGTCCAGGAGACTGATGGCTCGTTTTTCGAAAGTTACACGGCCGTTTCATGGAAACTGGAAAACAGGAGGCTCATGCGGGTCCGCGAAGTCGACGGCGAAGAAGTCTGCCCACCGAGGCCGGATAACCTCCGGCACACGACCAGCCTCCATCCGAAAGAGGTCGGTAAACAAAAAAAATTACGGTAAATTAGCAAATTTGTTGTCAAACTTGATTTCTTTTGTCGTTATATCTTACCCAGTTGATATTAGTTTAAAAAGTCATGTAAAGTTTTCACAGTCTGTTTAATCATTAAAAGATAAATTTATATTAACCAGCGTGGAAGCATGTTTATCAGAATTTAATAAGATGGCAAACTTGTTCTAGATAAAATGTAAATGCTGTGTTTATTATTAAACCTAATGCTTGGGTCGTGTTGTATTCCTTGTTTGTTTACTCGACGGCGTTTCCTCCTCTTTCCCTTATCGCGAAAGGGTCAAGTGATTGCCCCATTTCGCCACCCTTGTTAGACGTCGAGGGTCCCCCATGAAATAAAGTGCCCTTTCTTGTACTATCGGCCATCGGATTTTATTCTTACGACTTTTCATCCTGTTCAGATGGAGCAGCTGTACGTCGAGGTGCTGTACACCATCACGAATAAGGTCGGGGCGGCTTCCAGCCAGTACTACCAGGAAGACCTCTTCGGCTACGCCCAGAGGGCGTTCGGCGTTGGCTCCGAACAACACCGAAGGGCTATTTCCATCGCTTCCGAGGAAAAAGTAAGTTTACTTTTTAATAACTATACTTTTTTTTTAATAAATTCAGGTTTAATTTATAAAATTTGAATTTTGTATGTTGGTGCCCAATCACAAGAATAAGCATTTCACATTTAAAATTAATTTATTCTGTTCCAACAAATATAAATTTATAAAGCTCAACAAAAGTTTCCAGCACAAATTACTTAGCTTTATCTGATCAACAGACTATTTAACTTAAGAATTGTGATACTAAACCCTTTATCAGAGAGAGAGAGAGAGAGAGAGAGAGAGAGACACATTCATTTGTTTTAACTTCAATCATTTTTTCATTCATTTAGTCAATCTACTCATGCGTTCATTTTGTTGATTACCTCATTAAGTCAGTCATTTTTTGAGTTAGTTTTTTATTAGTTTGCTTCTTTGGTTCCCTCATTCATTGCGTACATTCTTTTGTCCTTTGGGACTTGCCAAATTCAGTCATCTATTCATTCGTTCATCCATGAATGGATCTGTCATTCATTCGGTTTTATTTGGTGCATTCATGCATTGAAAGACAGCCAATTCATCGTCTGTCCTTTGGTATTTCCTAATGTCAGTCGTTTATTCGGATGCTTATTTATTCGCAAATACGCCAAAGAAAAACGAATGAATGATAGATTTTTTGTTGAATGAACGCATGGTCGAATTTGAACAAATACTAAACGACAAACGAACGGACGAAAGGCATGCGTTATATAAAAGGAAATGGTTTTTGAAAAATAATATCGTTTCTTCACATATGAGAAAGGGATTAAGAGAGACAAAATAAAAGAGGTTCTTTTTCCCCTGGTATGCCTTTGTTATCAGTGCCAAGGCGAATCCGTGATTGTGTATTAATGCGCAGGTGACATGCAACGTGATGCACTCACTTGGGAGATAAATAAATGTGTAATCAAATTAAAAATTTTCATCGACAAAAGCCCGTGGAACGTTTTTGGTCTCATTAATTTCCCGGACCCCGAAAACCGCGTCCGCTTTTCCACGGTGTGATAAATGATTCCTCGACATTTTCGAAGTGTGACAAGACGCGTTTCAACTTTTCCCGGCTTGACGTTAATTGCATCGAGGAGATGAAAAGGAGAGAAAAGCCAGATGTCCCATTCTCTTTGTGCACTAAAAAGTAACCTTCCTCCTTCCTTTCCTGTCCCCTCCTCATAATGATTTAGAAGAAGGAAATAAATAAAGAAATATTTATCACACCTCGAATCTCTTTCAACGAATTGCACGCTCAACGAAAATTAAGAAAAGAGTAAGAAATCCAATTAGCTCCTTTCATGGTTTTCTCGTTATTTTTGCTCTTAAAAAGCTTAAAGTAATTGAACTGTTCGATCGACATTTTGAGGGAAGAATAAAGAAATATTAAAAGACTTTCAAATGAGAACATCGAGACCTTTTTCAAGAAAATATTAAGTTTGTGTTTCTAATATCTTAATTCCTTTTTTACATCAACTTTCTCAATGATGTTTCTATTTATATAAGTATCAATTAACTTGAAAGCAATTAAAAAAGCTCAATTTGTGATTTATCAAACCTATTTTTAAATCCAACGAATAATGAAGTTTTCATTTGCATAACTATTGGATGTAGAACAGGCCTTCGATCGAAACTGAAAACATTCTCTGTACTACAGCATTTGAGCGGGTGTTCCTAAGGAAAGCGTACATAGCCCATTTCTGTTTTTAATATACACCGAAGAACACACACTTTCGCTGATGACACAGCGATTCCTACACCTATACCTACGCCCTCCATAAACATAACATTGGTCCAAACCCATTGCCTACCCCTTGTGCATTATCATGGACTTTTCATGGATAAACGACTGACTTTGAATCCCAACAAAGACTAAAAAGATAAGAAACAAACCGACGTTATAAATTATTGAAAAGATTAAAGAAAGAAATTTACAAGACTTTGTAAGACCTCCCTGGGCGAACAGTTTTGCAGTGTGGGCTCAACCAAGCATTTCAATTCCCAACGTCGCCAATCAGATCCGTCAAAGTCCTCCGTAAAATTGTAACAGCACCCTTTTATAATTCAAATTACACTATTCAAAACGACTAAACATCCCGATTGTACAATCTCATCCAAACCCGCTATAAAAATTTTTAATACTCATTGATCGTTCAAAGCAATCTACTTACTTACAGTTATCACTTCCAGCCCCCCTAAGGGAAAAATCATCCAAGACGAGTGAAGGAAAATAAGCCCCAAGATCGTTTTATTGAGAAAAGATTGAAAAGGTTTCTTTGTGTGAAGGAGTGTGGACAATTTCTTCTATTTACTCAGACGACAAATTCAACTAATATGAAAATACTTACCTAATACAAATATTTGCATATTTGTAGTTGTAAATATCAAATAATGTAAATATATGTATAAACCAAATGAACGGCTCTGGTGAACAACACTTCTGCAATGCCGGCCAGCATTGCAGGTTTAGCCTATTCAGTCAGTTCTAAATAATTTATATTACAAACATTATTAATTGTTTAAATATTATTCCGTCAGCTGTGGCCGTGTCATTTATCACATCTAAATGTTTAATCTTCTAAAATAATGAAGAATTTTATAAACAAAATAATTTAATGTTAAGAAATGTAAAAAGAAATGAACGGCGCTGGTGAACAACACTTCCGCAATGCCAGTAGCATTGTGAATTTATCCTATTCAATCATTTCTAAACAATTTATGTAATAAACATTATTAATTGTTTAAATAATCTCTTTAAACAATGAACAAAATTTATAAACAAAATGTTAATATTTACAAATGTATGAACAAAATGAACGGCTCTGGTGAACAACACTTCTGTAATGCCGGCCAGCATTGTGGGTTTAGCGTACTCAATCAGTTTTTAATTAATTTATATAATAAACGTTATCAATTCATTAAATATAATTCCACCAGCAAGCACAGTTTTATTTTTCAATCTAAATACTTTACCTTAACTATTGAAAAAATTTAATTAAAAAAATTATTTAATAATTTAAGAAATATTTGAAATAAATTATAAATTCACTCTTTTATGTTTCAAATTACACTGTTCATAACGATCTACACCACCCGTTTGGGAAACGTCATCAAAACCCCCTATAAAAAGTTTCATCTATCACTGAACACCAACGATAATCTATTAGTACGACAGTTATCACTTCCAACCCTTCCAGATAATCCTTTAAGACGATTTTTCATTGAGTGAAGATTGACGAGTTTTCAGTGACACTGGGCAACTTCTACTATCGACTCAAAGTGCAAATTCACCTTATATGAAAATATTTACGTAATACAATATTTGTATATTTGCAGTTGTAAATATCAAATAAACGAAATAAAAAAGTGTGTAGAGATTAGTGACCGTTAATCGATATCTGAATAACTAGAAATAAAAAAGTATAATTTCTTATATTTTTCACTATTGAATATTAAAACAAAATGCTCAGCAATTTTCAACATATGTTGAAAATGTTCTGGTTTCGATTGTGGCTTATGTTAATAATAAATAACTGATGCAGACGATTATGCATAACGAATTGTTTACAATTGAACCGACCAAAGCACAAATGTAGTTATTTCATCGAAAATCATTCTAATTCGTTCTCGTGAAAATCTACACTCAAAACTTTATTATTCCACTGGCCGACCCGGTTCATAACCTTTGGAAATAAACAGATTTCCAAGCTTGACACGTCGTATGGAATTGGAAACGCTTTTATAAAGCTTCGTTTTTACCGGGAATGCGGTAGATTCGTGATATGTAAAAAATAATTTCTACCGATATTTATACAACCCACGTCCACTTTAGATATGTGTATGTAACCACGGCACATCCCACGAAAAGCCCGTCCCGGCAAAATGAAGACTCAGACGTCCATCAAGAATACTTGAAATTTTCATGTGTTAAAAATATATCCACAAATTGTAGAATAATTAAAAAACTTTGGCTTTTGCCAAATTCATTCAGTCGTGAGCCAATAAATTCGATTTTATTTGGTGCTTTCATATACTGAGTGTCAGCCTTCCGTTCGTCTGTCTTTTGGTATTTGCCAAAGCCAGTCATCCATTCAATTGGTCATACGATCATCAACGAATCCTTCATTCATTCGAGATAATTCCAATTAAAAAACAGCAAAAATAAGGAAAATTGGTGTCATTACTTTCAAGAAATCCCCTACGTTCAAGAAAATGAAATGACTGACCTCCCTTGGCAATTTTAAATACATAAGAAAATTTTAGAAACCCCTTGGTATATTCGCTATAGATCTGCTAACTTTGTCACCTAATTACTTTTAATTGCTCTTGAATTGTTTTTCTCTGCTAGATAAATTCCCTTTAATCCCGGCTGATGAGGGCCACGGAGCTTCTCTGTTTAACAGGGACAATGAGGGCCTATGTTAATGCCTGTTGTTAAGCCGTCCCTAAGGGTGGATTAGGAAACACAAATGTTTCCGAACCATCTACGATCCAGTCCAAATTAAATACAAGAAGTTAACCACCCGCCCCGACAGACGCAAGCGGATTTAATTATAGGCCGCTCTGGCAGTTTAGCTCACTCGAAATTCAATTATGGATGAACTATTGCCGCGGAACGACGGGGCGGATGACGGGATTGGTAATTTTGGCCCGTTTGATCTCGTCAATCGGCAAACTTTTGATTGGTTTTGCTTTGAGAAAAAAAACATTCCTAGATTTGGCTCTGCTCCGATTCTGCATTCAGATAGGTTCATATTTGCATGTTTATCGGAAATATTGGTTTATGCAAATTATTGCGGCTTAGGTTTTTAATGTGTAATACCGTAAAATGGTTTTTACTAACATTTGATGCAGGAGCTCTCTCAGGCAGTGTTATTCACTCAGTCAATCATCCATTTATTTCTTGATTCTACAGTTTTTTAGTCGTTCATTTCATCATCACGTGGTTCTTCAGTCAGTCATTCGTTTACTTAGTCTTCAGTACCGTCACACCTTCAGTCAGTTATTTATTTGTTTTTGTTTAGTGACTAAATATTATCTAACCGTTCGTCATATCGTTGGCTATGTGTACGTTTCTCTGCGTTCATTCAATTAGTATTTATTGGTTTATTTTTTAATTTTGTCGCACTTTCAGCTGTCATTCCTACCATTCATTAGGTCAGTATTTGTTCGTTTCTTCTTCCATGCTGTTATTAAGTCATTCGTTTGGTGGTATAGTGTCTTCACATTTATTCTTTCGTTTCTTGTTTATTTAGCGCTTCTATTTATCTGAACTTTTGGCTGTTCCTTTAATCGTTTTATTTCTCAGTCAGTCATTTGTTCCTTTTTATCCAGTGCATCTAATCATCTAAACATTTGTTTACTAGGTTTTATTTACGGTTTTCATTTCAGACGGTCATTAGTTCTTTACTCTTCAGGACCTTCACACATTTAGTTTTTCTTTGGGTTTTTATTCAGTTCCTACGTTCGTCCAAACAATAAACTGTTTATTAACTAGTTCATTAAATAATCAGTCATTCATTCATTCGTTGTTTGTTTAGTGTCACCTCTGATTCCAGAATTCATCTGTTCATTCATTGGTCCCTTAATTTACTCACTTAGTCATTCGATTGTTTATTCTTTAGTGCCTTTGCACATTTAGTCATTCATTTGTTTTTCATGAAGTGCTTCCACTTATTCAATCATTTGTACGTTTGTTCAGCGATTCTTTCATTTCCTCAATCATTCATTTGTCTTTTCTTGAGTGCTTTCGCATATACCGTCATTCTTTTGTTTTTGTCTTTATTTAAAGCTTTCTCTCATTCCAACATACATCTGGTCAGTCATTGGCTTTTCTTTACTTAAACTTCCGTTCCTTGTTTTTCTTTTTTTTTTTAGTGTCTCTACTCATCCAAACATTAGTATGTTTGTTCAGTGTTTCCTTCATTTATTCAATCATTCGTTTCTTTATACCCTCACTGCATTCAGTTTTGTTTGTTTTATTCGTAAGGCTGTCACATATCAAGTCTTAGCTCTTGCTTGAATAAAGCAGTCAATTATTGATTCGTTTATACGTTTATAAATTTTGTTAATCATTCAGAACGTAATTTATTGTATTTTCTCATTTGCCTTCCACTTTAGTTTGTTAATTAATCAGCCGTTAATTAATTGATATTTCTCCTAAATTCGACTAGTTTTTTTTTACTCTGTACTATATTTCATATTATAAAATATAAACAGTTTCCAGATTGTGGTTGTTTGTGGTCCGTCTATTCTCGCTCTACCTTTGATGTTTTTATACGTTATAGATAATTACAACAGTGCACTGTCAACAGTGTAAATTACAATTTATTTTCTTTTTTTTAAATATATTTATTATTGTGTAGAGATTAGTGACCGTTAATCGATAGTTATTCAGATATCGTGAGATGACACCCGACCGCATCTCACGATATCTGAATAAATATTTATTATTATGACATTTTGTAAATAATTTTTGTTACATTTACATACTAATAGCAACTTTAACTACAAATTAGTGGACAGGGTTATCCGAGAGGATCCTTCGTGTTAAGAGCACGACCTGCAGATGGCCCCCCGAGGATCTGAGCCGTAAAGAAGGAATAGTTCTTGCGAAATTAAGAATAGGTCATACGGGATTGACACATGGACACTTCCTGGTGGGTCAATGCCCCCGAAGATGTCCCTTATGCAGAGAAATGTTGCTCGACGTGTCCCACATAGACGAAGCGTGCCGTGTCTCGGCTCCCTACAGGGCGCGAGTAGGCATGTCGCCAGATTTAAAGTGGGTTCTCGGACACAGCAGCGAGTTTCAGTCCCCTATTCCGCTTTTTAAGGAAATTGGGAATTTTTTATTGTATGTAGAAGTTAAGTTATGTGTTTTGTGTTTCTGTGCCTTGTATGAGTGAATGTATTTATTGGTGTGAATGGGGAGGGGCTGATGGCGAAGTAGCTTCTCCATCGCCTCACAGATTGTGTATATGACTTGGGCTGATGGCGGAAATTTTATAAAAATATCCCATCGACCTCAAATTAGAATAGTTTAATGTAGTGAATAGGTAGATGGAAGAATATCGCGTACTTCATCTACCAAACTGGATGAATGGTGTATCTATTGGAGTGATTTTGTATCGAGAGTGTAGCGGTATTTTGTTAGTGCTTCGGGGCTGAAATGACTGAAGCTGTCGGATGCTGTAAAAAAAAAACTTAAATTCAACCCCCTTATCGACTTTTTGCAAGCATTGTAATTTAGACTCTGTCAAAGTACAAAAACAGGCAGAGGAGTGTTTCACATCGACTAATGGAAGTAAAACTAATAGTTTACATATGTGAAACCTTGAAACCCTTTCCAACATCGTTTATGCCCTCCGTTTGAACAACGAAGTAGGGAACAGAAGCGTGATTGTACGAACCGCGTATTAATCTCTTGGGAGAGCAGAGGGTTCGGTGCCGGGAGGAAATAATTCGAGGAAAACCCAATCTCTGTCCCATCAAGGCGTATTAATGCAAAAACAAATAGACCGGGAAAGCGTGTTAATTGACATGTGCTTCCGCTCACGTCAATTCCCATCACGAATGGATTGACTGATTATGTCATCATAATCAATTGATGATCTTTTATAATTACTGCTAGGTTTAAACAAATATCGATGAAGAATTCTATAAAAAAACGTAAACAATACACTTCACTTAACAACGCTCAGGCATAAGTAAAATATCTACTGTATACATCGTTTAAATAAAAATAATTAGTCACGATAACTCAAGTGGTAAGAGCAGCGGCGTATTGAGCCGAAGGTCGTGGGTTCGAATCCCGCTCGTGACTGACTTTTTCGTTTTGACCAAAACCTTACATAAAAAGATTAATTAATTGAAAGTAGTAATTTGGTCAATAGACCACTAAATATAATGGATTTAATGATAATTAATATTATTACAATTTAAATGATTGATTTTTTTCAGCCGCCGATCGTTGTGTTGAATGTGATAGTCTTGGAAGCTGAAGGCCTGGAAGCGAAAGACGCAAATGGTGAGTGGTATCAAAAATTTACAAACCCAGTCCCGCTTTTCAGTTTATATTTTATCCCCCCGAGCAGAGAAGCCCGGGGCCCCCGTTTAGAATCAGTTGGAGAAAAAGCACACGTTTAATCCATTTTACACCCTCGTGGATCACCTGGGGAGGTTTTCAGTAGGTGAGAGCCTGTTTGCCTTCCATTAGCGACAGGGTACCCGGATCTCAATTATCCAGGATTTAAGGGGGTGGAGCTTCGTTAGGTCGTTTACAAGAGTCTACTTTCTTTCATCAGTAACCCGCTCGGAGGAGGAGAATCGTCGGTTTTAAATTTTTCGAGTGTAATTAACATCTGACCAGACTTTTACAAACTTGCTACAACCAAAAAAATTTCTTGTTTCATAAAAAAAACACCTATTATCTAAGGCAAACAGCAATTTGCCTCTGAAATACTTAGCACAAACTAAACAAATGTCCAGAAACATAATTTGTGCTAATTTTTCATTATTTTATCATCATAAGCTTGTACATATTTGCACTATTACTCTTTCTCCCCTCCCTCTTTTTCACTCTCACTCGCGTACAATTATGCGTATAAACGGACACTTTATCTCACTCTATTGATCAAACTTACACACATTCATTCTTTTTCACTGATTCAATCAGAGATAGTGAAAAAGAGAAAAAGAATGAAAGAAAAATAGAGAGATCAAGAAATAAAGAGAGGGAGAGAGAGAGAAAGAAAGAGAAACACACGCACACTCACAGAGTCTTTCAATCAATCACTACTTTTCTCACTCTCTCATTAATACTAACTTTATTTCACTCTCTCTCCCTTTCTCTCTCTCTCTCTCTCTTCATATCTATATTTTTCTTTCATTCTTTTTCTCTTTTTCACTATCTACTGCAATGAGAGAGAGATAGTTAATACAATAAATTATAGTAGCTTGTTTTCAGGCTACCAAACTTTTTCTCAACGATCCAGTGCTAAGTAGAACTTTCGTGGTACATGATAAATTTTGTCTTTATTTTCTTTTATATATATATCATCAACCTCTATAGTCCACCAATTTAATTCGGAAACTATTAATTTTTGCAAAAAATGGCCTTATACAAGCCCCAAGTTAATTTTGGCTAGAAATCGCGTGGTGGTACAGATGTAACATAACTTTCTCATCTAGCTAGGAAATGGCACCGACTTTGTTATTTTAAATGAGAACCCCATATTTTTATTGTACAATTCGTTTCTAGAGCTTATATTATGCCATTTTTACTGAAAGGGAAATCACAATAGGATAGACTATTTCTGAGTTATGTCCGATTTTTTTCTTTTGCACAAAATACGTTCTCACTTGTTTTGACCGAGTTACAGTGTTATTTTTCTATTTTAGCTTTCTTATCTAATTGTAAATATGTATTTAAAAATATCAATATTTCGATGTTCTGTTATGTCTAGTTAAATTTCGAATATCAATGACAAAGGTAAAACAACACGGATGGTGATAAATATAAATATTTTTTGATGATTATTACTTACGTTTTCAAAATAAAGCAGTGGATCATCTTGTTCTTGCAAAAAACATACCCCCATACATCTTCCGTCGGGCATAACTCAGAAATGGTCGGTCCTATCAAAAATTTCCTTTCAGCAAAACTGGCATAAAATAAGCTCTAAAATCGAACTGTATAATAAAAATATGGGATTCTTATTTGAAATAACAAAGTTATTATCATTTCCCAGCTAGATGAGATCTGTCACGTCCACGCGATTCCTAACCAAAATTAACTTGTAGTTTATACAAGACTATTTTTCGCTTTTTCGCTAATGTTAATCGTTTCCAAATTCAATGGGTGGACTATAAAAGTTGATTATATATATATATATATATATATATATATAT